GCAAAAGCTCTACGAGGATGGTAGGACCGCTGGCCTCATCTCAGGCCAGATTGTCTGTCCCTCCTAAACCCCACCATACCATCATGCCTGACCTCTCCCAGTGGACCGTTCGAGACAAGGTGGAAGGCCTCTCTCAGATTATGCAGTGCCTCTTATGGCCCTTCTGGAATCGTGACTCCAGGTCCGAGTCTGAGCATGGCCTGCTTAAGCATCTCTGGCATAGGGTTACTAAGAGCAATCACGATACAATATCTTTGCGAGGTGATCTTCTTTGGTCATCCGTGGCTGGGGGCATACCAACTGCCGTGCGGGGCCCACCCTTGTGCAATCAACTCCAATACCTGCTACAACAGCTCTCTGCCACCCCTCATACAGGACTTTGGGAGTGGTATGCGAACAATGGGACGAGCAACCTTCCATCAGTGGAGGCTTCCATGATTTTACCCATGCAGATCGTTCGGAGGGAAACGCCTCCCCTCACTGTAGGCTGCTTGCGAGACTGGGGTGCTCACTCGCACAGGCCTGTCCTCAGGCAGGCACCCCAAACTCTCTATGCATATGCCCATACTGTCAGGCTATTGTCTGAACTACATGGTGAGACGGATGCGGCGTGGTTCGAAAGCGACGGGGAGGCCTGCTCCCTTTGCATTCAACCCCTGGATGGTCCAGCATATACCTGTCTGTACGAGGCTCGCTCCATCATTCTGTGCTCTGCATCTGGCGATCACTGCAGCTATCACTCAGTGCATCGGAAAATGCATGAGGATTCCATGCAGCCTTTTGCTCCAGCATTGTCACAACTCCTTGATGCAGATGCAAGGCCTTGCATTGTGGCACTGCGTCGGTGCCCTGGCCAGGTCAGTGCTGGCCACCATATCATCTGACTGTACGGTGACGCCGATTGTTAACGTTGAGTTCGGATATTGCGCATAAGTCGCATATCAGTTGCAAAGCAGGTGCTGCGGCTTAAGGGCACAGTACTGAGCTCCTTGAGAGCTCCGGCATGACTCCGTGCTTCTCGCTAGGTGGATCGAACTCCGCTGCGTGTTGAATGAATACTCCTACTCCTACTCCTACTCCTACTCCTACTCCTACTCCTACTCCTACTCCTACTCCAACTACTACTACTACTAGTACTACTACTACTACTACTACTACCACTACCACTACCACTACCACTACCACTACCACTGCCACTACCACCATTACTACTACTACTACTACTACTACTGCTACTACTACTACTGCTACTACTACTACTACTACTACTACTACTACTACTACTACTACTAGTACTACTATTATTACTTTTTCACAAGAGTGGAGTGCATATTTGCCGCCAGGGTTTTCCTTACTTCGCATACCCAAAACTCCAGTGTTAAGTACATTTTTCACCAAACAGGTAAGGTTTGGGGTTCTCTCCTCAGAAAAAAAGGTGGGCCGCGGTGGCTGGATGGGTGGGCCGCGGCGACGGGCCTGGGCTCCTATTGGGCTCCCTTCATGTTTCGTTGTTGGGCTCTTAGGTCCTAGGTTGATGGTTGGGCCGCAGCCACGGGCCTGGGCTCCCAGGGTTGGACGGCTGGGCCGCGGATAAAGGCTCCCTACTCCCTTCATGTTTCCTTTTTGGGCTCCTGGTTGGATGGCTGGGCCGCGGCAAAGGACCTTTGGACTCCGTTCATGTTTCCTTTCTGGGCTCCTGGGTTGGACGGATGTTTCCTTTTTGGGCCTTTTGGATGGCTGGGCCGCGGCAAAGGGCCTTTGGACTCCGTTCATGTTTCCTTTCTGGGCTCCTGGGTTGGACGGCTGGGCCGCACAAGGGCCTGGGCTCGCATTGGGCTCCCTGCATGTTTCCTTTTTGGGCTCCTTTTGGATGGCTGGGTCCCGGCAAAGGGCCTTTGGACTCCGTTCATGTTTCCTTTCTGGGCTCCTGGGTTGGACGGCTGGGCCGCACAAGGGCCTGGGCTCGCATTGGGCTCCCTTCATGTTTCCTTTTTGGGCTCCTGGTTGGACGGCAAAGGGCTGGGCTCCCATCAAATTTTCTTCTGGGTTGGATGGCTGGGCCGCGGCAAAGGGCCTGGGCTCCCTTCATGTTTCCTTTCGAGTGGCCCCCACAAACAAGACCTTTTGGTCACGGCATTCTCGTGCGGATGTCATCACTCCAACACGTTCCAACTTGAACCTGCAAGAAGGAGCATACTCGGTGCAACTATGAGTGCCCACCACAAGCAAAATCTTTTGGTTACGGCGTTTTTTCTTCCAAAAAAGAATTCTTCTTTCTCGCACGGATGTCATCTCTACCCATTCTTCTTGTGCACAAAAATAGTCCATATGTCTAAACATTTGTTTCGCAGCGTCTGCTTGCGAAGCCAGATTGGGTTTCAACACGTTCCAACTTGAACCTGCAAGAAGGAGCATACTCGGTGCAACTATGAGTGCCCACCGCAAACAAAACTGTTTGGTCACGGCGTTCTTTTTCAAAAAAAGAACGCTTCCTTCTCGTGTGGATGTCATCATTACCCGTTCTTCTTTTGTACAAAATAGTCCACATTTCCAACTTGAACCTGCAAGAAGGAGCATGGCGTTCTTTTTCCAAAAAAAGAACGCTTCCTTCTCGTGCAAATGTCATCAGTACCCATTCTTCTTTTGCACAAAAGTAGTCGATATGTCTACGCATTTTTTCGCAGCGTCTGTTTGTGAAGCCAGATTGGGTTCCAACACGTTCCAACTTGAACCTGCATGATTCGATGCATTCTGTTGGGGTCTACGCTGGCGTAATCTTAATTTTGTGGGGAGCGCCGGATTCTGGAAACGTTCAGTTAGAAATTGTGTTTTTGGGCTTTGGGCTTCAAGGTTGAAGGTGGAGGTGTCTGGGTTTTTTGGGTTCACGATGATGAGGGCTTTGGACTTTGGATTCGTATGAGGGCCTTGGGTTTCGTCTGAGGGCCTTGGATTTTCTATGAAAGCCTTGCGTCTTCATGAGAGCCTTGGAATAAGTTTTCAGTGTTTGTTTTTGGCTTGGCATTGGCTTGGAGGGGTGCCTTGGGGCGGGGAGTTTCGGGTTTAACTCTAAACCCTTAACCCTTGGGCCCTTAACCCTAAGCCCAAACATGCTCTCGCGATTGCTTTACGTCTGCTTCGTACCTGGAGTAGCTGTGCTCGTGGCTATGCCCTGGTACACGTCGTGCGCTGCTGTCGACCCTTCGCCAACACAACTGGCGCTCCAACGTGAAGCTTACTGCCGACAACCTTTTGCATGCTTAAATTCTTGTAACACCTATACCCAACTCTGGTCAGCGTAGCTTCCTACGGATGCGTTGACACTTCCAGGTTTACAAATTTGGGGAATGTCGAGCCAAAACATCACCAGGCTCGAATTTCCCAAATTTTGTGAAGCTGGAAGTGCCAGGCTCGAATTTTCGCAAAATCACCAGAATCCTGGCATCTATGGGGAGTGCGTGGCTATAGTTGCTGAGATTTTCGTGATTTTAGGGAAAGAAATGCGAGCTTCGCGATATTGTGGCACTTCCAGCTCTACAAGTTTTGGGGAAATTCAAGCCCGGCCATATTTTCGCAAGCTGTAAATATCCCCACCGCCATGATGCACTCCGTTTTTCAAGAAGCGGCCATGGGTTTTTGGGGGCGTAAGCTAATGGTACTACTGCTGCTGCTGCTGCTGCTACTACTACTACTACTACTACTACTACTACTACTTCTAGTACTAGTACTTTTACTACCACCACTACTACTACTACTACTACCACTACTACTACTACTACTACTACTACTACCACTACTACCACAAAAACTAGTTTTGATTTTTCGATACGAATTCAATGTTTGTTTGATCCCTCACCCTTAGGTTTTTCTGTAGCCCTGTTGCATAGGTATTGGTTAATTTGTTTTGACCTTGGTTTCAGCATTTTTGACCCTGTTGGTTTGATTTGGGTTGATCCTAGTTGAAATTTTTATGATTCCTCACCCTCAAAGACCCAAAACCCAAAGAGCCTTAAGCGAAGAGGGTCTAAAGCGCAAACCCAAGAACCCTAAGTAACAAGCCTAAACCCTAAAGGTTTACCGCCGATGGAGGGAGGGCCGTGTGACGAATGGATGGATCCTGCAGGAGACACCTTGGAACTTCTCGAGGCCCAGCACTGGCCCAGCACATTGCCGAGGCAGACGAGGAGCAGGACGTGCTCGCGGAGGAGCGAGTTGCCTCGAAGGAGACCGGGACGAATAGTGAGGTGGTGGTGGAAGCGCTTCTGAGCACTATGCTCACCCAAGCACAGATGAATGAAGAGACGGACGGTGACCGCGGTGCTGTGGGGTTGGAGCTGGTCCACGAGTCGGTCGTGAGTGCGGGGGGTTTGGATGTTTCGACCGAGGCTGTGATGAACGAGTTGAATGTGGCAGGAGAGGAAAGCAAGCAAGTCCGTATGCAAGACAACGGAGGGGTCGCAATCTGATAGAGTAGTGATCGTCGAGCACTGATGGCATCAAGGGTTATCCAAGCTGCTTGCCCAATGTGGCTTTCCCATCCCTTGGATTCATGCGGTGAGGAAAGAGGCCTTCAAAAAAACCCTAAAGCTCTAAAGCCTAAACCCGGAGCCCTACGCCTAAGAAGCCTGTTTAAAGCCCAAACCCGAAACCCTACGCCCCAAAACAAACCGCAAACCTTAAAACCGAAGCCCTGAACCTTAAGCCCTAAACATCCCTAAACCCAAGAAGCCTAATTGAGAACTGAAAGCCCCAAACCCTAAACCCTAGATGCCTGAACTGTAAAGCCCAAACCGCAACCCCTGAACTCTGAATCCTATAAACCTACTCTACTACTTTACACCGTAAAGCTCAGGGCCTAAACATCCTCCAGCGAAACGGGGCACACCATGTGCAGATATGAACCCCAAGGGGTATGTGCGGAAACGAACCGGCAACCACACACGTCATGCTCCTGCCGGCCTGCCGGCTCCTTCACTGTTTGAGGTTTGAGCTCGTTCCGCCAGGCAGCCTCAGGGTTGGAATGCGAGCTGCTGGGCAAGCTTGATTCCCAGTGTATGGAAAATTTCTGGTTTGTGTGCCACTGCAATAGCTGTGGTATGAAACTTCGAAGCTAAGGTGGGGTTCCTTCGGCTGGTGGCTTCAAGTCTTCCTAGGGTCTGTCTGCCTGCAGCTCAATTGTAGCTTGTTTGCGAATCAACAGCTGATGTTGCTTGCTTTCGAGCATGAGGTCTTGTGTCTTTGGTGGGCAAGAGGTGCATGGACTGCTTTGTAGAGTCTCTGGCTGAGCAGATCTTAGCGTGACAAGGTTCACAGACAAGGTGAGAAGACCTTGGAAGGCGACGGGGATACACGTCATCTGAAGATTTGTTGATCATTCCGGATTGGGGAAAGCGATCTGTCGCCTTGATTGGGACGGTGGTCCAGGCACCGTTGGCATTTGCTCAGACTCGTGCAGGTCTGGTTCTTTGATACCGCAAAGCAAGGAACACAGGCAGGCGCCTTTGGCTTGCCGATTCTACTGAAGTGCAGTCGTTGAGTCGGAGCAACTGCCAGTGTGCCGCTGCAGCTGGCCCTGTGACAGGCCCTGATGAACCACATCATCAACATTGGACTCTCTATGGCCGGCCGCATGCAGTAGTCCGTAGCATGTGCAACCGAAGCAAGCTCAAGCTCGCGCTCTGAGTTGTCAGGGGTTCGGCGAGTGGCTGTCTGTAGATGCTGATCCCTGCAACTGGTGCTCCCGGTTGAGCTGTTGTTTGTCGCCGAGTCAAGTCAGGCTTGCATCGTTCAGGTACTGGATTAACATGTCCTTGGATTGCACCTTGGGCCGGCAGCTTGTCTCGTTTCTCTCCATCATCGGGCCTGATCCCTAAAGCTGTGGTGAGATGTATTCAGGGGTCGCCATCATGTTCCTGCTGCTGCGGCTGCTGCCGCTCGGCTGCATGCAGACGGCGCGTTTGCATCAACACCGAGAACACCTAGTGTTTCAAGGCAATGCGTTTACCGCAGCAAGTTGGTAGCGCGGCCAGAGCTTGCAAGGCTGGTCCCTCAGGCGAGGAAGAGCATAGACTAGACGTGCAACCAGTCATAGTCAGCAGACTGCTTGGAGAAGCGAGGGGTTCTGTGAACCTCATAAGATTCACGGGTTCAGACACGAAGAAGCTTTAAGCCTGAGAGAAGTGCACCACATGCATGGTTGCATTACCCACAGAACGGAAGGAGCTCATTCAGTGTAGCAGAGCTTCAACCACTTTTTTCCCAAGCGCAGCGCAGTGCCTTCTTAAGCTCGATTATTCGAGAAACCGCGTGAAAGCTGTTGCTGCTGCATTAGGTGTGGCCATTATGGCGATCCGCCCGACTTCCGGATTTTCCTTCGTCAATTGCTGGACTGGCAGGCCTTTGCACCTGTTTGCCTGCTAGGCTTCTGTCTTGAAGCTTGCGAGGCGCTCGTCTTTGTACAGAAACTTATGTTGGCAGCGTCAGCCCGGCTCAACTTTGCCCTCACGATTCGCTCCCTGCACACGCTGGCAATTCGATTCGCCGCGACAGGCTCGTCATCAACTTCCGTGCCAGCATGGCTTTGATTAGTACAGCATTGCTTGGGCGCCGGCCTCAGGCACTCTGAGACTTCTTGAACTTGCATGGTTGCCATCATGCCGCAACCCCTTGCCCCAGCTTCTCAACATGGACTCCTGTTGAGATTCATGCTGAAAAAGTGACATGTGTGAAGAGCTTTGGTTGTGTTCGCGCCAGTCGGCTCGCGGGGTGCTTTCAAAGCCCCTCGGGGCCCTATGGGCTTCGCCCGCCTCGGCTCCTGAGGTGCAGGGGCCGGATGAAACGGCAAAGCCTTCTGTATCACTCAGGTTAGGGACCAGCGGCCACGCGCGGCAGGGGACTGGCAAGAAGGGCGCGGGGCAGGGGAGGGGGGGGGCGGGAGAGGGCGGCCAAAAAGCACCAGACAAGAGCAGAAAAAGAGGGGATCACGGGGGGAAAGGCCAGAAAATCTGGTAAAATCAAGGGAAGCCGGAAGCTGGGCAAGGGGATGGCGAATAAACGCAATAAGCGCGTGTCATAAGGAAGGATGAGGTGGAGGGCACTTGAGGTAACCCCCAAGACGCCTGCGCCCGTGGCCTCAGCGGATTTTCAACGCTGCGCCGCCCGCCTCGGCTTGCCGGAGACCAGCACAGAGCAGAACTCGTCGACTTGTTTCTGCAATGTGAAAGAGCAGAGCGGACGCAAAAGGTGAAGGGGGAGGTGGGACGTGGGGCGACGTCAGCCAAACCGTGCCGCTTGCAGGTGGGGGGGGAGGGGGAAGGGCCGAAAAACACCAGTAGGTAAAATAAAGGGGGGCCGGGCGAAAAACAAAAAGCGGGTTGGGTGAAACTTTGAGGGCTGCAGGCAGCAGGGAGGAGGATTAGGTGGAGGGTATCTGAGCTAACCCCCAAGACGAATGGGCCTGTGGCCTTCGCGGATTGTTCTAGTGGCTTGCATCCCATGCAAGTCCCCGGCAGTGGTACTGCTCTAGAATGCGCGGCATCGGGTTATTGATGGTTGGAATAGTTTTAAATGCTCCGCGTCGCCCGGTTTGGCCTGGCTGCACACGTGTGTGCCGAATTGGTTGGAGGTGTTTGTCTAAGGTAAGAGCGGAAGCTTCGTCGCTACCCCGTGCAAAGTGGCCTTGCAGAAGAGAACTCTTGAGCCGAGATCTTGCAGGCGCCAGAACCTAGAGTGGACTGGCGGAGGCGGAGGAGGAGGGGGAGGGGAGGGGAGGGGGAGGGAGACTGGGTGGGACTGCCCTGCAGAGAGCCCAAGTCCATCTGGCGGAGGCGAGATTTCACAGCAGGACCTGGGGGCAAATTCATGGGTTCGCAGAGAGGAGGGGGGGTGGGGGTCAGCGGCCCCTTTTCGAGGTGGGGTGAGTGGGGAGGGGATGAAGAGGTGGGGAATGGAGGGAATCCGAATAGGAACCTCTGACCGCTTCGGTCGGGGGCCGAGGCGAACTAGCACTGTTTGTGCGTGCTGGCGCAACTTGCACATCTGCAGGCAACTTTTGAGAGAGTTTCGTCGGTCTTTTTCCTCATCCTTGATGATGTGTGTCCTGCGGTATCATATGTTGGCCACATCAAGATGACCCAGGTGGCTTGATGATTTTCCACGGGCTAAGCTCGTGGTCGTCATGGTGCACGCCCTGATGTTCTTTCGATCGTCCCTTAATACCATGGGTTCTGTCACCGTTTTTGGTTGTCGCCAGGTGCTGATGCCGCTCATACTCAATGTGTTCGCATTGTGGACGGCAGACAGCTTCTTGCAGGCTCTGATGTTCATGCAGCGATGCCCAGCGAATACGCTGTGTTGACTGACCATCAGGTGACAAACTGTTGCTTTATTTGGATGCTTCGTCCTGACATGTTGCATGCAGGCCAAAGCTAATGATTGTGACGAAGTACAGGCTCGTTTGACTTTCGTGTACTTTTATTCATGCCTTTCTGCAGCATCAGGTGAGAGAGTCGCTGGTGGCGGGCGTCCCTGCGGTCGTGGGGCGTGATGTGCCAGCGTTCCATGCACAGGTCTGGTGATTGATTCAGCCACCTGATGCCCGCAGTCGTGCTTTGCAACTCGACAGGCCGACGAGGACTTGGAAGACTCCATCATGTCCTTCCAGGAATGGAAACGGAGCCGCCGACAAGCTTGAACTTCAAACTTCCGCTACAAGTTGCCACGGCATATCGCATACGAGGCACGCTCCCAGTCGAGTTGGCTTCCACTTCGCCGAATCCAACAGAAAAGACTCTGATGGTGAAACTAAATGCACATGGATCAGGAAGGTTTTGGTGCCGCGCGGTCTGTCGACCTACTTTCCGCAGTTGATTGAGTTCGACCGGATGAAAGAAGGGCTCGTAGCTTCTGCGGTGGTGGATTCAACCCGTGTTTCCCATTGAAGCTGTACTTTGCATTTGCACAGTGAAGCTGTAAACCCCTCAGCTCTGAACCCCAAACCCTCATGAGTGGAATTCTGAAAGTGCTGTCCAGAACTCGAAGCTCCAAAGAGCTTCCATTTTCGGTTGGAGCGAGCTTTGTGAAATCGGGTCTGTGATCCTTGAAGGCATACAAGGTGCACCTTATGTCACAGCTTGAGATTATGACTCGGAAGCTGCTCGTCTCCGGCACAAGAAACTCTTGCATGTCGGAGCACTTCGTCAACACATAGTGCCATGCAGGCAGGTCGTGTAGCAAGAAGCAGCAGCGGTTCAGCTCATGTGCCAGGAAGAAGTCGCAGCCATCAAGAGCTCGGCTGACGGAGCTGACGTCCATCTGAAATTAAAATGGCTTCGTGCACCACTTGCTTGCCAAGGGTCGATGCTGATGTGCCACGTTGTTTTGTGCTGGGGTCATGTTGTCAAGCGGCTCATCGCTGGTTTTTCGGAAGCAAAAATCATCAAGAGTTTCGGTAGCAGCCAGCCAAAAACCACTTCTCTCAACCCACATGCCCGAAGAATCGAGTCCATGAGCTTGGCCGTGTCAAGTGTGACTTCACTAATCTCTTGTATGTTCTGCTTTCAGTCGTTGCTTGAAGTGGACTGCTAGGAAAGCCTGTGGTCTTCATGACAGTTTCCAGGGTTCTCTTTTTCACCGTGTGCTGCAAGCCACCAAGTTCCGATGCGGCGGAGAGAATGGTTTCCAGCTCCTGATGATATATTTGATTTCTATTCGTGTAACCAGTGAGGAGGTCAAGTACCCTGTGAAGAGTCCGCAGTAGTTAGAGTGCTCTAAGCCTCAACTCCCCCTGCCTCGCAAACCCTTGCAGGATGTCCCGTCCAAGAAACCCTGCCGAACATGAGCGCCCTTTACGGCCTTAACCGGTTTGTTTTCAGGCAAGCAAAAGGCTTAAGAGAAGTGTGGTTGGATAAGCGCCTCTTGTGGTTGTTGCTCGTCACTAAAAACCGATTATATGAGAACACTTTGTTAAGTCACCGACACAGACAAGACAGCTGCTTGCCAGAAAGCTTGATGTACTTTTTTCGAATGTTGTGTTGCTGCCATCCCAAGTCTCATCCAGTGGTTGGGTAGCTCTGGTCCTTGCGACGCTGTGCCTCGTTTCAGGATTTTGTTTACGGCCCTGAAGTCTCCGCAGCTCATCTCAGCGTCAAAGGCGGCGCACACTCGGACGCTGCAAGAGTGCGAGCTGGTCTAAGACTTGTTCCGAACAGATCCATGTATCACAAGCGTCTCGACAAAGTAAGTGCCCCCGGTCTTGTCTCAGATCGTCAACTCACGTAGCCTTTTCATGTATGGCACGATGTGCGTGTGGGCTGCGCTATGCTCTGATGGATGCCGCAGCCGCACGACCTGCCCGTCACATCCATCAGCTTGTGGCCGTCCGTCCACCTCCACCTCCGCCACTGCCGTTGTCTACACAGGCCTCGGCAGGCTCAGCATTTCATGCGAAGCCGCCGTCACCACCGCCACCACCGAAGCCACCTCACCCCGAAACAAGATTTGAAGCCACTGCACTCTCGGTCTCAGCCAGCGAGGCTGGTGATCCAGGCCCGTCACTGCCATCTCCAGAACAACTTTTGGACCTGATTGGAAAAGATGGGATCCCTGCGGGCCTCAACAAGCACTGGCAAGCCGTGTGTCTACTTCACGAGCAAGAAGCTTTCAGTCTAGCGCAGGTCGCTTGGATATTCGACCAATGCCGGCGCGCACGGTCACTAAAGCAGAGGGGCAAACGGATTGATCACGAGGCCGAGCTTCCTCTTGGCGCTCGCGTTGTGAATCTCTTTACCCATTTTGTTTGTGCCCGAATTCCAGAGCTCACACCTGAACACACGACTTGCTTCGTGGAAGCTCTCACGACAACATTGCCAATGGATGAGTTCTGGCTGTTCATGATGGCCAAACAAATCCAGGACACGACGGACAGGTTCAGCCCCCCACAGATATCAACCATATCACGGTGCTATGCAGACAACCAGCTGGAGGACGATGAGTTCTTCACAGCGCTTTCTGAAAGAGTGACTCGAGGCTTAGAGCAGTTTCCCCTTTCTGAGCTTGCCGTCTTCCTGCTTGCCTGTGCAAAGATCCGTTTCCTCGATGAGGCCTGAGTTCAAAGTCAGCAGTCTTGCTTGCAACGTGTTGAAATCTTGAATTGTCTGCAGGCACTTTGTCGGAAGGCCTTCCCACTCTTTGAGGACCGTGCTGGAAGAAGTCTGAGACGAACTCCAGGGTGGCACCTGTCGTTTGTACGTAGTCGTCTCATGGTGAGGTTTCCCTTACCGTCGTGCTGCTAAGGGCAGGGCTCCGCCAAGTCGCCCCTCTCGCCACCAAGCTTCCAATCCTCCTGACGAATGTTCTTGCTTAGCATTCGCCTGGCACTGGTCCGTGCAGATCTGAGAACCTATTGCTTGGATTTGTCGGCGGCCGTCCATCCTAACTTATTATATGTCCTCCGGTAGAGCAGACGATCGGCCCTGGTCTATACGACAGCTGCTGTGAGCCCCTCGCATTTCGGACAGCACTGCCCTGCAGGAAGCGGCACGCGTGTCGCATCTGGATGGAGCATCGCTAAGTGCTGCGGTCACAGCTGCAGCATTGCTTGACTGGCTCGCGACTGAGATGCGACATCGTAGTGTACAGCATTAGCATAGTGAAGCGCTGCAGAGCGCTCTGGATCAGGAGACGTTTTCAGGCCCTGCACTGTTGCCGCGTCCTTGCGGAGAATCCCAGAGACCTTCGGCTGCAGATAACCGTGGTTTGGAGGCACTCCGGCGGTGGCTGTGTGCATGCAGGGCTGAATCTAGTAGTAGCGCTGCCGATCCTCCCAACAGTGCAAGTTTCGAATACCCCGGCTACATTGTTCATTATAGAGAGACCCACAGAAAGGAAAGGACTGAAACATCTCAGTCATCTGAGGAACTGCAAAGGTCAGCTGCGGACTGAGCTACAAGCATCTGTTGCACGCCGACACGGGCTGATGAATCTCAAAGGTCCGAAGTGGTGATTTAGGCATGGGCCTCGCGCTTGCAGCCGCTACTTGACAAGAATAGAAGAGCATTTTGCTGAAACTGTACATTTCAATTGGAAATCCCGAGGTTTACATGCGGAACACGACTGGAGCCAGGTGCCAGTTGGGCGGTGACAAGGCTCGGCCGATGCGCGTTACCATGAAGCTTGCAGGCTGCTCCTTCCTGTTCTCCTCGAGAAGTTCAGCGAGGCCAAGCAAGAAGCGGCCATGTCGAACTCTCGCCTTGCGCATCTGACGCATTTGGCATCGCCAGGCAAGCAACTCGCTGCGAAGATCTGAGGTGCAGCACCCCCCAACGGGGTTTTGCGGTTTCTGGACAATCTGGTCAGGCTGTTGTGTGAAGGTTCAAGAGTTTTGCCACGACAGCGATCGGTGCACCAATGGCCTGCCAGAAATGCATGGACCCTGGAGGTTGCAATGATACAGCGCCGGTTCATCATCATTGGGCTATGTGCCGCATTCGGCCTGCCAAGGAGGCAGCTTCACCATTTTTGCACCGACATGTCAATGCCGCTCATACCTGCGCAGGAGCTCTTGGATCCTCCCGCACTTGCGCTTGCTGCAGGCAGGGCTGTAATGCTTCGGAGTCCGCTGGCATCGCCAACCTCATCTGCACGGGCTTCAGGGCACCATCCAGAAGCTTCAGCTACATCTTGATCGAGTCGGCCTCATGGCTCAACGAAGGGCCACGAACGACTGTGTCCGTGGCCAGCAATTGTTTCAGGCCGCAGAGATCAATATGAGCCATCGCCAAGCAGTTTCCATCTGGAGGCTCGCCCAGAAGGTATGGCTCCAGCTTTTGTGTATCTGGAGTTTAGTATACTTTTTTCTCAGCATGCTGTTCCCTGGTCACAGGTAATGAACGTTCCAACTGGTAGCACAAGCACTGTTGAGTTGCGGCTTTCAAGACGTGGGCCGGGCCCGGCTGAAAAAAGGTGACTCTTCAAAAACTCTTTGGAATATTGTTCTTGACAGAATGTCCTTCTTCACCATGTTGCCCGTGTCGCTGGAGCGCCCGTCATCAGCACTCGAAACCAGCTGACGACTGCTCACGAAACCATTCGTGAGCTTGCAGACGGATTGTGCCAAGTATGCTCACACTCGCTCCGGCCCTGTCTCTTTGTCTCTCTGTCTGTCTGACTGTCTGCCTGTCTGTCACTGGTGGTACATTGCATGCACGAGAATATCGAATGCCCATCTTCCTTGTAAGGCATCTTTTCTGCTTTTCTCCTGCCATGGCAGCATGTGGTATGCGTACTGAGTAGTGTCTTTTCACGTTTGCCGTGATGGCGGTTGAAAGATTTGCAGGTCGTGGCGGTGCTGAGGCTTCTAAATGTGGAGAACTGCTGGCCAGTGATTGTGTTGTGCTGGCACGACCACCTGAGTAGCAAGTGGCTATGTCGTGCGACTGTGCCTCCACAGCATATCTCAGAAAAGCCAGGCATCATCTGGAGTATCCCCAACTTCCATTTTCGTTGAGCGCCGAGTTGTGCATGTGCAAGCCGTGAAACAGAGCTTGTCCCGCTACACGTGAAGCGTCTCGTCTCAGGTTGGATATCGCCATTCTTCCGGACCAGATGCGACGTGCGATGTTGTAGTCGAAGAATCCGCTTGCCACAAGATGCAAGCCTGTTAATGTAGAATGTAGGGGCCCCCTCCAGACGAGCTCAGTTAACTCGCGGCCTGCCCGACAAAAGGTGCCCTTAGTTGCAACCTGTTTCGAGCAACCGTCACCTTGTCTCATGGGCAGTTCACTTTGTAGAGTTCTGCATGATTCAGGCGCTGTTGTGTACTAGGGCAGGCGGCTGCGTACCAGAACGGCAGCAGGAAACATCACTAGCCGAGACTTGGGAGTATCCAGAGAAAAGCCACGACAAACCCTCAAGGCAGTTTCAGAAATGGTGCAGCTAACAAATGGGGTTGTCTTTGAAACCATTGTATGTAAGTTTGTACACAGCCGTATTCGAGCATATAAGATGATGTAGAAAGCATCGTGCGTGAACGGTGCACGAAAGCGGCGCGGAAGAGTGGCGATAAGGAGCTCTTATGGGTTGATTACAGGCCCTTGGGCCCCCGCATAGATCAAATCTGATGTAGGGACTTACTAAAATAATTGTTGTCTGCTGGAGGGAGCTGCATGGGAGCTGTGTGGTAGCATCGAGCCTAACGAAAATTCCGCACCCTTCGAGCTGAGAGGACAGTCTGCGACAACGATTTGTAAGACTAAGGCTTTCAGCTGAGTCTCGGCATCACATGACTGCTGAACGCAGAGTTCGTGGTAGTTCAACGACGCACGCAGGGCACTAGGCAGCCGAGCAAAGCCCATGTCACTCTACTGAGGCGAAGGCTCAAAGAGGCTGCAATGAGGTTACCAGGTGCTGTGCTGGGTTGCCGGAATGACCGACGTGTAGACCTACTCGACCGGCGCATGGGTGAGAGAGCTGAATGGCCTTGGGTCATGCGGCATGTGTTGATGCCGGCAATTCCATTGTCTCCACCAGCAGTGCACTTGACACACAGCTGCAATCGGGAAACTATCGACTACAGCTTCAGCACAGCTTGGCAAAGCTTGCACAAACCAGCGCTAAGTAGCAGCACTGGCAACCTTCAATCAACTGCACCGTTGCCAAGCTTCGCCGGCAGGGCTTGGGATGGATTAGAGCGGTTCACCAAGTCAACTTAGCCAGCATAGCAGACACATGCTTGAGCAAGATGAAGAAGGGAATGGATCCATTCCGTGCAGTGTGAATCCCAGACCTCATCGTCTTTGCGTAGGCCACTGGAATTTACTCTGGAGTACATGCGCCTTTCTTTCAGGTAAATCTTCTCAATGTGCAAGAGAAGATTGAAAGCATCTCCTCTGGAGGCTCGTGGCCGAAGTTCCGTTGTCTGTGTCCGTGCTTTCCAGTCGGTGCTGAGCTTCAGGGGACTCAGTTTATCTTGGCACTGCAATCGGGAACATTCTGCAGCTGTGGCCTCAAGCCCGAGCCGCCTTGGTGCAATCTCGACACTGTCGGTGGATGCTGGTGAGGTTTTCGTTCCCACAGGCAAAGAGCTCTGAGGACCTGCTTGCCGCATTGGGTTACAGCTGCCTGTCCCAGATCACAATCAGGATCCTCCAGAAGCCGCTGCACTTAGGGGAGCCGTGGCCCTCGGTTCAAAGCGGCCTGTCGAGCAGGTTGGGCTCCTGATTGCCGGGGCTTTCAACTGTGGTACTGAGATGTCGCCATACTTCTGTATAGACTCAGATGCTTCGTGTGCAGGTTTGTGCCACCTCCCGCTTTGTTTTCGCCATATCAGATGGAGTCCTCTATGTGCTTCGGGCAGATGTCCAATCGGCCACGCCTGATCTGAGCTTGGCTTGCGTGTCGGAGAAGCATCCGATCTCATCCGATGAAGTTCTCTGCGACCGAGGTGGAGCTGTGCAGAGACGTCCTGTGCTTGGTTGATCGAGCATGTCTTCATGTCTCCTGTGGTTCGGCATTCAAGGCGAAGAACATGTGTCTGCACACGGGCTCGGGTGACGAAGCGGCAAGCCCTGCAGAGGCGATAAGAGGGCAGAAGATGGCGGAAGACTCGGTATTTCACATGTCACACTCGTAGTTGCAAAGAGGTATGTGTGGCGATGCGGAAGAAATTGGTCCTGTTCAGTCACAACGGCAGCAACTTCGAGCAGAGACAGGTGTCCTGTGACAGTGCGGAATTCGTCAGTCGCAAGTGGGCTTGGATCCTGTTTTCATCGCTTCAGGAATTTCCGACGAATGAGGCTGGGAGGGGTAAATTCTGGGCAACGCAACAGGTCACTCGTGCAAGTGTCCCCGTCGAGAACTGAACCATATCCTCGCCGGGGACAGGATCGCTTGTTGCTGCTTATGCTGTCCCGAGAAGTCTCAAGACATTCCACAAGTCGCGATTCCTTGCAGCTTACCCTTGTGGCCAAGATACAGCAGCACGTGGCCCGAGTTGGCATGCAAACAAATCCACTCATGGCTGCTCAGCTGAGCCATGCGGCGGATTGAAATTCCGACAGCATGCGGAGCCGGCAGCCGGGCCGCTTCCTTGGCATCTTCAAGATTCAACAGGATGAGTAGCAGCATGTAGCAGAGTGGCGGCCCCAAAAGAGCTCGATGCAGTCACGGACGCAAGAAGACGCAAACGAACACAAAGGCCGAGCCAACCAGGCTGTGAGAGAGGGGGGCAATACATCCTAGGTCCTAGGCATACACCCACCGTCCTGATGGCTTTGGCTTTTTTGGAAAGGCAAAGGCTGCATCACTTGACCACCGGTGATTTGAAGTGTGTCAATGTGCATAAGTGTCTTTCCCCTTGTCACAGACCCGTTCGATAGCGGGGTAGGGGGGCTTGTAGTCCTGGATTTAGGAAGACTATAACGGGGTAGGAGTATCGGGGGGGTTGTAGTCCTGGATTCAGGAAGACGATAAGTGGGGGTAGTCCTGGATTTCGCAAGACTATTAGGGGGGAGGAGGGGGGCTTGTTGTCCTGGGGGGGGAGGGGTTGAACTTGTGGGTTGGACAGGACGGTGTTATACATTCCTTCGCGAAGAGAGCGGGGAGTTTTGCAGTCTCAAAAAGCGGAGGATTGGGGGGCGTAGCCTCCCCCATTTGCAGAGCTTCCGAATCGCTCAAGATTAATCTCTTTATTAGAATTTAACACCCCTGAAGCGTTTTCGTGTGGCTTTCTTTGTGTGTCTTTGAGAAGACGTTTCCCGGCGACTAGTGGTACCAGTGGGGAGGTTCGGTTTTGGGTGAAGTATGATAGGGGAGGGGCTTGTAGTTTTGGGTTTGGGCGAATTATGAGGGGGGGTTTGAGTGAAGCACTCCTCCAAATCACTCATGATTACAAAGTTTTGTTCTTCGCTTTCACCCCCCTGAAGAATTTTCGTGCGGCTTTTTCCTTTGTGTGTGTTGGAGGAAGCGCAGCTTAAGAGAGCGGGGAGGTTGTCGTCTGAAAAATGCAGAGCTTCCAAATCACTCATGATTCATTTTATTTTCTTCGCTTTAAACCCTGAAGCGGAAGCGTTTTCGTGTGGCTCTCTCCCTTGTGTGTGTTGGAGAAGCGGGGGGGGGTGGGGTCCGTAGCCTTGGATTTGAACCATAGTCTTCTTGAATCCAGGACTACAAGCCCCCACCCCCCTCATAGTCTTCAAAATCCAGGACCACAAACCCCCTTCTCACATTTTTCCGAACACCCCCCCCCTCTAATTGGTCTTCCTGAATCCAAGACTACCACCTCCCTCTACAACCGCTCGCGGAAACCCCCCCCTCATACTCCTCGGATTTGTAGGATTATGAGGGGGGCTCCCGGGCTATTGAACCGGACCCCCTTGTTAACAACATGTTTTAAGGCAAGCAGGGGGCTGGACGTGTGCATGGGTCGCTATCCCAACGAAGAGGGTCAATGCACATGCTGTCACATGCTGATGCGGTGAGGGACGGTTCACGGTGGACCTACAATAAAGTGCTATGGCAAGGCCGAATCGAGTGAGGTGCTTCAACTTCAGGCCCGTTTGGTTCTTGGCCCGCTATCTGATCTGAGAGCCTGGCTCCATACAGACATTCTGATGTCACTGCCATATCCCGCGGATAAATGTGCAACTGTGTCGGCTGCTTCATGCAGTTGTACATTTTCCGGGGCATGCCGGTGATGTCACTAGCCATGCCAACGAGGCCATGGGAAGTGACTGGAAAGGAAACTGGACCGACGTAGTTTCGGGTACCTTTCGAAGCTCTGAGCCCAGGAGCAAAGATTCGAAAAGCACCCATGCCCTTGAGCCGGAAAGATTAACCGTCACAATTTTCAGTTTTCCAGTGCGCAGTTGCACCAATCCGATTTCAAGCGTAGCAAACACTTGCGTGACAGGCAGGGACATGGCTCAAAGAGCATCCAGCACATACTCATTGGTCGATCATCTTGCAAACGTGAGTGAGTGTGTGTGTGTGTGTGTGTGTGTGTGTGTTTATGCTCATCGTCCAGGTTCTGCAGGTGGCTTCTTCCGACGTTGACGATGAGTCTGGCGCATCCATCTGGGACTCAGCGCTCTGCTTGGGTGAAATCCTTGTGAAGCAACAGACTCTCGCAGAACAAATTCATACTTGCGGTGAGGAGCTCCCTGCAAATGAGCAGTTTGCAAAGGCGGCTCTTTTCGTAATCTGTAAGTGTGTTCATGGCACAGATGCTATGGCTACGGATGCTGAGGATATCTCTGGGCCCAACAGTCCTGGAACTTGGATCGGGAACTGGATACGTTGGGCTCATTGCAGCTGCACTCGGCCATCGAACCACGTTGACAGCGACGTGGCTGAGAGAGCGTCGACTGCAGCATACTGCAGCCAATCTGAAGCTTCCAGCGACAATGTGCACTTGAAACGAAGATGGGGGAACCAATGCTCAAGAGGAGGTAGGCAGGTCGAAGATGATGGTGGGCATCTTGGTAGCTGGGGGTTGCACAGACGTGTTCATTCCACGTCTTCCTCGTCCGCGTCGTCGCCCTAATCTGCCTGCAGTGTCTCCTTGACCACGGCTATTATCATGCTCTCACATCTTTGGAGTTGCTTTCGTCAGGGTCTTCCTTTACATTCCTTTACAACAAAGCGTTGACACGACATGTTGTCCACCTAGGATCCCATTGAATACCCGTCTTCTGCTGTGGAAGCATACCTGCGTCACTTGCTATTTGCCCTCACGGAGTGGATGAAGTCAGCGCCGTGCAAGAGATCGCATGACCACGAATTGTTCATCCTGCGTTCCTTCCGTTCATCTCACTTGTATTGATAGTCAGGCGGTGGGGGGCACAGGGCATATTTAAGTGCACATGAAATAACGTGTAATGTATCTGGCAACTGTTCTGTTGAGCATTCCTGGAGGTGTGGACGCAGTGGACAGGATCTCTAGATCTCAAAACTTGTAACGGCTAAGGGAAGGCCAATCTGGGGACCGGGCTTGCAGGTTCTGGCTTTTTGGGTCGTGGCTTTGCATATGACTGCCTACGCCAAAGAGCGCAGCTGAGATCAGGATCGTGCGATCTTACTTCCTCAGCTGCAAGCGAACATCCAGGCGAACGGACTGGAGGACAGATCCGTAGGCCCTCGCAGGTTGAATCTGTTGTCTGGTACTGCCGATTGGGAGGATGTGGCAGATGCAGTTGAACTGGAATGGGGCAGTGCGCGGCCCGATCTGGATGTCGACACTGTGATCATGTCTGCAGCCTGGAGAGCATTATGCCCAGATGTCTCAAATGGGCATTACCTTCACTGAAAGAACAGATCCAGCCTCAGCTGCATGCTATCGATAGCATGCCGAAATGTGTAGAAGTGGACATGTGTTACGTAATGTTACGTAGGAAGATCATGCGTTTTAGGACCGTAGGATCTCGCAACTCCGCCCTTGATTTTTCAAGCTGCTCCTGGAATCCGCTCTTGAGGACTGCGTGTACCTACCTTCTTGCTTTCGGCCGTTGGTACAGACGTTGGATTCACTTGCCCCGAGCAGTATTATCTGGGCAAATGAGATGAGAGGAGTTGAGGAGGCGGGAATAAAGTGCAGCCTGAGTTCTTGATGCCCCAAAGTCTCTTCTGTGTAGAACTAGACCTCCGATGAGAAATCGCCTCGGTTCTGTGAGAGGAGGAATTTCGCAAGCTCATGGCTGACAGCGGCTCCTGAGATGCAAGAGGCAGAACTTTGATCGCTCTTGCACGCAATCTTGTTGGTTGGTTGGACCACTTCCTAGACTGGCGTAGGCAAGATCAGCGAAAAGGCTCCTGCGGCTAGCTTCTACTTGTGTTTCGCTTGCTAGCAGACAATCGAGCATCACTTTAAGGCTGGACATTCGAAGAAGTGCCACTGCCTGCAGAGAATGACTTCGTGTGCGAGGATATTTGCGTGCAGTGGATCCGGCGTGCAGAGGAGAGAATAAACTGCCGTGTGCACAGCCGGCTGCGCAATCCGGCGCTGCGCAGAGTCGCATACTGCTCGAAATGGGTTGAGCTGTTTGCTTTTAGCTGGAAGGCGGCTTTGGCCCTCGCATGGCATCAGTCGTTGATATGCGCCGGCTTTCGTTCCTTGGCTATGCACCTCCGGAGCCGTGCCAAGTTGTGCCTCGATTCAAGCTGCCCAGTTTGCGTTCAAAGGTAGAGAATACAAGCTCTACTCCGAAAGGCCCGCGAAATGCTACGGCTTCGAAGACGGAGCATGGCTTGTTGACAGCTCTACCATGCTCTGCCGTACCTGGCACTACCTGCAAACCACAGCTCTCAAGCAAATGTGCATGGCAGGCAGTGCTTCAACTTGTATTGGGGTACGTGGCGTGGGCACATCATTAAACTGTAGTTTATGAAAGTGCTCTGTTTTCAAGTGTTCCATGGTACTGCAGTAATCAAGGGACTAATTAAGTCTTGTGTGGGAAGATGGTGGCGAGCGATGGAGCCATCAAGGTGGAGAGTTCGAAAGGCCCCTGGGCAGCGTCGGCTGCTTGCAGCGCCCAGGGTCCACGACCCCAGAATGAGGACGTGCATGTGATGATATGCGATGGGCTTCCAGAGGGGCCTGCTCCGAACATCAAGGCAGCAGGGTTGCCTGGGCTGTTCGATGATCTTCCAGAGCTGGTCAGTGGACCTTCGCTGCCAGCTGTGGAGAAGCCGCAGTGCACAGACTGCTTGTTTGCCGTGTTCGATGGCCATGGTGGGATCTCGGCGGCAAGAGCTTGCGCAGAGCGGATACCAACGGAGATCCGTGAGGCGCCCGTTTCCAAGGGCTCCTCTCTCTTCACGGGGCATGTCTGCTCGGGCCGTTGCCAGGAGTTAGATGCAGCTGGTCGAGACACGCCCGAGGCAAGGCAGGCCGCCGCCATGCTCTCAGCCTAGGCTCACAGTGCGGCGCAAGACTTATAGAGCTTCAAGGCCTCAAGACACACCCTCGCAGAAGCTTGTTCAGGTCGCGGGCACTTACCTTGTCCACACCTGAGCATGTTTCAGGTTTGAGTGGGTCACTGAGTCCAGCTATGTGGGCCATGTCCGGACGAAGCAGCATCGCATGTGTTGTAAGGCCCTTGACAGGCACTTACGCATCAAGCTCGGGCCTGCGGCAAGAGAGTGCAACTCGTCGAGCGAAGATGTCTTAGTTCGATATGCTTCCGAAGCCATACTTCATGACTCTTGGGCGACGCGCAAACAAGCGAGTGCACGGATTTTGTTCAAAACGGGTAGTGCACGACCAGCGGCGAGATCCTGCCCTCGAGTTCTCTGAGGTGGTACAACATGCGTTTTCGCTTATGTTTGGAAGAAAGAGGCTTGGAACAGCTTGGAACTGCCGACAGACATATCCAGCTGAGACATTGACGTGTGACAACATTGATTCAGTCAGGACGTGCCTTCGACATACGGCGTTCTCCTTGCCAACTTGGGAGACTCGCAACTTGACGATGACGGGCCAAACATTGCGCAAAGTATCACAGGCATAGCTTTATTCCGGCCTGCTCAGGCGTGGCTTGGTTTTGTCGCTTCGCTGCACTTAAGACAGTTCTGGTGCGGACAGTAGCACTCCTTTTCGTCAACAGCAGAGCCACGGAAAGCACAGTCTGATAACTCTCACCTTTCAGGAAGTCGCACAAGAACGGGGGTCCAGCCAGCCATCGGGCAGCATTTGGTGGTCTGCACATGAAGGCAAGTGTCTTTAGTCCTTCACGGACCTGGTTGAGGCCCAGTCATGGTTTAAGGGTCCTGGCATTGTGTGGAAACTTTCGGCTCAGCTCAGGTCATGATCTGGTCGGAGAAACGAAGGACCACACGCCCAGTGCACCGGAGGAAGAGAAGCGCATCCGCGCAGCCGGGGGAAAGGTGGGGCGGCTACAGCCGGAGCACGCCTCTGACAAGCGCAGAATTGTGCGATTCAGGTGGAGGTCTTCCCCGGGAGCAAGGTGCCTGTGATGCGGGTCGATGGCCAGGGCCTCGCTTGCACCTGCTGCTAACTCTACTGCACTCTGCGCGGCGGCGGCGGCGGGATTGATGGGGCATTTGCCGAGATTCAGCAGCACAGGGCGCCCCAGACAGAAAAAGGCGCTCAAGAAAAAACTCCAGCTCCCCCGAGCAAGAAACGAATAAGAAGCCGAGAGCCTTGCATGCTCTAGCAGACTCTAGCAAGCTCCTCTATGACAGTAAGTGCCACAAAGCTATCTAGCCCGCGCGCGGAAGAGCATATCTCCTTGTCTTGTGCATGGTCATCAAATTTTCTGCAACGCACAATTATGTACATAAGCACGTGAGCAAGAGGCAGGCACTTGTTGAGCAAATGTTATAGGAGTAGAGTAACATGGGCTTCGTATTGGGAACAGCAGGTTTCCGGCATTTGGACCACCAGGTGCCCAAAGCAGACCTGCAGGAAGACCAATGACTATCAACAACAGATAGCAATAGCAAGCAGACTCTTGGACGAGGAGGTTTTGCTTCCAGTGAGGTTCGGTGTGTCTCTTTCTCTTGGCGTCCGCATCAAAGAGCTTGAAATTGACCCCCGCACACGTTGTCAGTCTTTCCAAAGCCCCTCTGCGGGGTTGGGTTCTTGTTTCGTCTTTCCTTCCCGCAGGGAGCATTCACAAAAAAACGTTGCCGTGGACCGGAAAAGCGTTTTAGCGAAGAGGACGCGTCCACGGCATCGTGTCGACGGGCGGGGTCTAGAGTGCCGAGTGTTCACGGAGAATGCGGCCGTGTGGGTCCCGAGCGTTCGCGGGAGGATGTGGGAGGACGCGGCCGCGGCCGTGGAATGCTGTGGACCCGGTGCTGTGCGTACGTGGGCGGACGTGGCCGTGGACGGGACGGGTGGGATCTCTGGGTGTCGAGCATTCGGGGAGGACACGCCGTGGACGGGGACGGGTGTTTGAGGTCTGGGTGCCGAGCGTTGCGGGAGGACGCGGCCGTGGACGGGGACGTGGTGGGGAGCTCTATAATACGGTGCCGACCGTTCGCAGAAGAACGCGGTCGGTGGGAGCTCTCGGTGCCGAGCGTTCGCGGGAGGACGCGGCCGTGAACGGGAGAAGCCCGAAAGCCTGGATCATTGCTCTCCCTAATTTTTTCAGCATGGGCTTGGACTGTGTGCCTCCATCATGCCTAAAGAACGGTTTGGTTTTTGGGTTCCCGGCTGGACCTTGTTTTCAACAGCTCTTTGGTTGTCCCTTGAATTTTCTAAGGTAAAATGTGACTGACATCTCCAGCGATGTGCACAACAGCACCCAAGCGCCTAAATTGAAGCATGAAGCAGCCCAGATCCAGAAATGCAGTAAGCGCCCAGAATGTGGCGCCAGCTCCTAGAGGCTTCGTGTTCTCAGCAATACACCGACAAGCGCCTAGGTGCCCAAAAAAGCACCCGAACGCCTAGTAGAATCCATGAAGTACTGCAATGCCTGGAAGTCTGGAAGCATCCGAAAAGGCCTTGGCTTAGAGGTTTGGGGGCCTGCTAGATCTGTACGCCTAGAGGCTGCTGGCTTGGGAACAACTGCACCTAAGCCTGGGATGAACGGGAGCTGGCTGACGAAACTCTCTCGAATACGCGAACCTGCAGCATGTTGTTTATGTCACAATCCTCCTTTGGTCGCACCATGAATCTAGGGCTCCCAACCTTCCAAAACAGCATACAACCTGGAAGTTTGAGAAGTTGTTCCAGGCTTCCGCTCGCAGAACACGAGGATAAAGGGGCAAGCGAAGGAGACCTCAAATGCCGGGTTTCGACAGAGTCGCTTTGCGAGGTAGCGCCGATGCTGAGGGTCAACGCACGAGCAAACTTTGGCTCCAGCGCATGGCACGCGACATGCTGTGTCTTCGCCAAGAGTGCATTAGAGTGAAAGGCAATGGAGATTTTGGAGGTGCTTTGGAGCCATCAAATGCTGAAAATGTCCAAAGGCTTCAAGGGCTTTAAATCAGAAGTCACACTGTCCGCCTGCCCTCAAATCGCCGCGTTCTGCAGGAGCTTCCTGTTCTGTCTGTAGGTATGTCTTGTTGGCAGAGGAGAAGCAGCTTCTCAGAATGCCAAAAGAGGGCCCTCCACATGGATCCATCCAAACGGATGACCAATCCAACCCCTTCGCACCGGGCTTCCCATTGGGCCAGCCCAAGTGAAACACCGACATGCTCTGCACCCGTCGCAGACGCGAGCGATCGCGAGCGTTGTGCAACGAGGCTACCTGGGCTGCTCGAGAGCTTTGGGCGATTTCCGGTTCAAGGATGCGAAGGGCAACAACGCAATGCTGAAGTGCGCACCACGGCATCTTGTTTCACGATGGCAGCTCTGGCTCAGGAGGATGCTGCTCTCTTGCCGGAGCAGCAGAAGGCCAGCCTCCTGTGCCGCTGTGATTTCCAGTCTCCGAGAAGTTTTTTCCGTATCGCTCGTGAGGTCTCGGCCGTGCCCGAGGTCTACGTCTCCCGCTTGCAATCGGAACCTGACTGTGCTCTTCCCTGCTCCTTCCGCCTGCGGCCGCCTGCGTCGTCAGGAGTTCGAGTGCCAAAGTGGGGACGTCATTGTCTTGGCCTGCGATGGAGTCTTCGATGTGCTGAGCAGCAGCAAGGCTCGGTCCTTGTGTGCGAAGTCGCCTAAAACAGAACCCAACCGGCCAGGCGGCCTCGTCCCTGAGCTGCAAGCAGCAAGAGCTGCAAGCTGCAAGCAGATGCAGCTTATCCAGTCAAGGCCGCTTGGCCCGCTTGGCCTGAGGTTGGTGAGCAAAGAACTCCGCGAGACCGGGGACCCCACCGCTGCAGCGAAATCCATCGTCAAGGCAGCTTTGTCGGATCCAAGGCAGTATCTTGGCAGCAATCTGAGCCGTTTCAGCCACACAGTGAGCCCGCCTTGCACCCAGGCAGGACAATGTTACTTGCGTTGTGGCCCTGATTCAGTGAGGGATCGGCGTGAAGAAAAAGCAATGAAACTGCGCTCGGCAGATCGGACGGCTGACACGGCGATCGGGTGGGATCGGGCGGGGCCATGGCCTGCACAGGACCGGCCTTGCTTGGGAGGATGTTTGCCCTCTGGATGGAAAGCACACTCCGCGAATAGCTGTCTTGCCTGGAAGCTCAGATGCAAGTAAACTTCCGCTTCACAAGACAACTCACAGTCCTCTGGTGCCCGTGGCTCTGTCAAGGAACCGAGCTCTTGCTGCTGATTCAGGTGGGTCTCAGTCGCGACGTAGTGCGCAAAAGTATCAGTAATAGCTATTGGGAACTAGTATCTACTAGTCGTCTTCGTCTCCTGCGTCTTGTGAGGAGAATGTTGGCCTCTTCTACAATCTCAGCACGAAGCAGTGTCTTCCTCGGCCCGCGAGTGCTTTAGATATCCGGCATGTCCAAAAACCAAGGCCATCGCCCAAAAACATGGTCACGTGGCCAAGGTGGCAGCCGTCTGCTCAGCACGAGTTTTGATTCTTTCACGTGCAGGAAAGTCACCCATCTGGGTGCATCCGCAAATTATGCGTCACGCTCAGATGTGAGGTGGCACATAGCAGCTTCACAACTACTGGGCTTCGTGCCTGCATCCGTGTGCTTCTACTACAAAGCACGGAGAACCTTGAACCCGTTTGCGCCGACTTGAATCAAGCATTTGCAATGACGGTGGGAGTTTATACCGACACAGCGAGAACCGAAGCAAGCAACCAAGAGCTCGTCAACATGCCGAGCCTCATACAGGGACAAACCACTGAAACAACTCTTGTCTGTGGCACCTGCCGGTCACGCCCATGGCCTGCGAAGAGGGCATTGAAGGACGGCGATGTGTTTGTGGTCTTTGCATGAAGTGCTGCCACATTCCGCTTTTTCAGGTTGATGGCACCTAGCACCGGAGTGGTCGACTTGAAGGGTCTCGATGATGTTCAGGCATGCTCCGTAGAGGTTCGGCTCCGATAGGCACTCTGCTTTAAGCCTTGCCCTTGCCAGGTTCTTGGGTCATGGAACTTCACGCTTCAAGCGGCCCAAACCTCGGCGTAGTTCTCGCCAATTTTCGAGCATGCTCATCACGCGGAGGACACGCCGCTGTACTGGCTCCGTTGTGGAAGACTAGACAAGTGCTCCAATTGAAACGGAAAGCGTTTTTGGGTCCTGATCTGCATCTATTTCGACAGGGCACGTTGTTCCCTGTTCCCTCGATAGTGGCAAAGTACTGCAACGTGCTGCATGATCCTATTTTTCCTACAGGGGTAAGCAGATGAGATGGGCCTGTGGGGCTGGCAATCGCAGAAGCATCTTCAGCTTCTTAATCTCCAATAGCTGTGGCAACACTGGGGTCCAGGACTTGGTTCATTTGTTCGTGATACGCATCCGGTGCATCCACGGCTGCCGCTCCACATATTCTGGGATGTCTTTGAGTGGAAATCTTGCTCCGGCCACGGTGTCGTGTTGATTTTTGCCTTCAAAGCTGCCGGACGTCGCGGGGGTCGTCGTGGTGCGACTATCTTACGGGGTGTATGTGGTGCGTGGTCTTCACTGTTTTGTATCTATGCTGCCACGATTTGGTGGGGTCCAAGAGTTGCCGAAACGCGAGAAGCATTCCAAAAAGCTAGCTCTTCAGAAGTCTGAGGCAGCCATCCTTTGCCAATCTCTTTCGGGGTGGGAAACGAATCAGGACCCATATCATACAGGATTAATGGATACTTGCTGGCATGAACTTCCTCTTAGAGATGCATGCATCTTTGGCTACAGCTTTGTCTTTAGCATCTCCAGTCGGCGGCACGTAGCAATTTGACCGCGAATTCTGCTTTCCGACTTCCCTTTCGGGCTTAGCGTTCGCGGTTTCAAGTCCGACGTGCCTGCCCTAAACCCAAATTGCCTCCCTTGGGAGAGGTACTTGATGAAGTTCAACGTCCATTCGCCTTGCCCCAGTACCTGTGGCATTGTTCTGCACGCGGAGGCCTGGCTTCACCTCTTGCCTGCCACTAAGAAGCACTGATGGTAGCTAGCACCCAGTTCTTTGCAGGCCGACTTTGGTGGCACGGACGGCAGTTCCTTCTGGATAGAAAGGAGGACTGGCACATGCAGAGTGGAGGTCTTGGATGGCACTCAGCACCAGGACTGGTGATGATGGACAGAGAACAAAGCGCTACTTGCTTTCTGGAGATGGCCTCGATTCGAGGCACACAACAAGTCAACAGTGCAAAGCTTGCACCGAGAAGCAGCAACACTGCTCTGTGCGCTGGGCGCCGCTGGAAGGCCTATCGTGACCCGGCAATTTCCGGACGCTGGAGATCAACCAGAAGAGATTGAGGTACTGATGCAAGGCCGCTGCTGTGAAATATCTACAGGTGCATGACTTTGAGTCGAAACATGTGCTCGTGCTCCTCCAGGCTATTTTGGGGTGATAATGGTGCGACCCTTGGCTGTTTCCGCAACATGTGGGCACTCGTGATGCGACGGTGCGGGCTGGTCGCATGGCATAGCATGGCCGCTGTGAGTGTCGACCTCTGCACACCACAGGGTACTTTTTTTTCAGATTGAGCAACTTTGATTCTGTCTCGACTCAAAGGTTCAAAATCGGAAGGTCCACTTGAAGTTCCGTTGCAAACGCAACAAAGGCACACCAGCCGTGACTCTTCACGATTGTGTGCACTGCAACACTACTACTTTTTCCACCCTTTCGGTCAGGTTCAATTGCCTTCTACAACACGACCCAAGGGGACAAAGACGACGTGCATTTCTCCGAGGCTGCTGGAGGTTTTGCGAATCGTTTTACTGAGATTTCTATCTATAGGAAGTTTGGAGCTGTTCGGGGTCATCAACTTTCGCGGCTGTGCAGGTCCGCATCACGGCTCTTCGGCGCGGTCCCATGGAGATCGGCGGATTCCTCGGCCAACGCGAGCGGCAGATGCTGCGGCCTCAAGCTTCCAGATCGGAGCTCCTTTCAATTGAACTTGGTGCTGTGGCTGACATAGCATGACCCGTGGAGCGTTCCAAGCTAGGCTTGGAAGAGACAGAGAGGACAACTGAGACATGGGTGTAGCGTCGATGTTTCTGGGTGTCTTGGCACGAGGGACCTGGCAGAGAGCTTTATGATGCGGTCCTGTTACTTTTAAGTCACGCTTCAGACTATGTGGAGGACCCCTCAGCAACGGTGCAAGATGAAGACAACGTTGGCCTGCGAAGCGAAGATGCAGGTTCTTTCGAAGCTTCTGGCTTTCCTTACGGGCTTTTGAGCATGGCCTGCCCCAGGCAATCCTGGATCACGTCTGACCACAACCTCTAGACCTACGCCATCTCACCGACAGGCTGACGCCTTGAGAGATCTCGGAGTAGTTCCGTCCGCCGCCGTCAAGTTCTTGCAGGCTTCCTCAACCCTGTTGAGTCCAAGCTCCACCGGCAAAAGGTTTCGAACCCCCGGGTGCCTAACATGTTGGAAGCAAGCTGCCCTGCATGATCGGGACAGCTACTAAGTAGAAGGTCTCAGCATCAAAGCAGCGACGTCCTCCAAAGGAGTGCGTCGGGCCCCGTGCAATTGCATCTAGCCATGGTGCGGAGTGCAAGCAGCATTTTGCTCTTGTCGCCATACAGGTCCGACGTCGTGCTGAAGTCCGGTAGCATGAAGTCCACAAGGTGTGCAGACTTTCGCAGCCACCTTGCGAAGAGAAGCACCGTCATGGGAAGAGCCGTGTGTTGTCAGGTTTGCTTCCACGGGGAAGACAGGGAAGACTAGCCACACAAGGCGACACAAGCCGCTTGCTCTGAGTGTGAGGCTCTGCTTCGCACGTCTGCGCGCTGAGGGGCAAAAGCTTAGGGATTTCTGGAAGGTGGATCCCTCTTGCCAAGAATGCCCCTGCCAGCGAGAAGCAGCTCATTCGGGACGGGAGCTTTGGTTGATTTCCGGGACATGTACATCATAAAATCAATCTCTATGTCTATCTCCACCTCTATCGCATCTCAGTCTTACTAAGTGTCCGCTCTCCTCCTCATGGCTCTGAGGCTCTGTTCTGTGGACATCGCGACACCGCCTGCAGGATTCCATGCCCAAGCTGCCAGCTTCGAAGGAGTCCTGTCAGGCCTGGGCCTATTTCTGATTTCTTTAGATGCGAAGGTGCCGTCTTCTGACGCTAGCGCTGTGATCCAGACCTTGTAGGATTTCATCGCTATGCCGCTTTGAAGATGCCGAATTAGTTGTGTAGTCCGGTCGCAGCAAGACTGTCAAACCAAGCATCTCGAAAGATCGCAAGTTACTGTGCATTAGAATGCGCCTGTGAATGTGCAAATGCATCTATCATTCAGCATAATATGGGCAGTCTCACCCGACGCTAGGTTGTTCTTGTTCCTGTAGTTGCGTGAACCGCAACGGCTTGCACGGCTTCTGCAAGGCTAAGCCTTGACAGCGCGAGAGACACGCACACAATGAATTTCACAAATCGTCTGGATGCAGACTGAATCTGAATCTGTCCGACTCTGTTTCCATGCCCTGAACACGAGCTCTCTGCTGGCTCTGCAGCTGTCCGACACTTTTTCGACGTTTCAGCGTGCGACCTGCAACAGGATAACCAGGGTTCAGGAGTCCAATGAAAGCATCAGGAGTAGTTTTTCCGCAATTTGGTCCTGGCTGTTTCCGACCGATTAAGTATTCGTGGCCCTTGCCGAGAGCGCTTCTTTGCTGGGCCATGGTCCCTTTCCTGCCACTTGGCTGCTGTTATCTGCAGTTCCGGCACATCTGGACACTCTCAGCTGCTTGAAGCTTAGGGGGCCTTCAAGGGCAGACGGCATCAATACCTATACGGCTATTGAACCACCGAAGCCCGAGCTGTCAATATTTGCAGCTCGGCGAGAGTATGAAAAAGCTGAGCCGAAGTAGCAGCTGGCCATGTCAGGATTGGCTGGGAGTGTGCTGCTCGGAGCAGCCTTCAAGAAATCTGGACCGGTGCAGCACGCGCTTTTCAGCTTAGTCGCCACATGATGCGGCTGGAACCAATGTCTCTGGCAGGACTATCGCCTTCGACAGCGTGAGGAAATAATCATTGGACAGCTCCAGCAGGAGGCAAACGACGATCCTGCACGACCTCGTCATATGCTGTAGATTTCCAGCAGGTATTGGTGTCCTTCGATCCGGGTGCTTTGGACCCTTGGCAGACTCTGAGATTGAGCATCTCTTGTTCGTACATTCAGCCGGCTGTGGCTCTTGCTGAACTCTGAACGGCTATCTTATGCTGCTAAGCGCCAACTTGTGCTTTTTGTGTCTGAGCCGCCGCAACGGATTGCATTGCACCTTTGCAGCTCAGGAGCATGAGGCATCTGGATTGTGCTTGTGCTCGCATAGATCTGCTCGACGTGCGTGTCCCGCACTGGCTTAGTGCAGGCTTTCTTGCAGGAGTACTTCAAGGTATCGGAGCTTTTGCAGCCGAGTCTGTACGGTGGCGTTGCACTGCTTCTGGTAGGCAGCAGCGCCTGCACTCTCACCGCTGGAGAAGAACCGTTCTTTGATCGAGAAGCTCCCAGAAGGTCGGCGGGAGCATGGAAAATGACGTGAATGACCTGAGCTTGTGAAAGCCTGAAAGCCGCAGGGCGACGGGATCACAGATGGAAGGAGCTGGGCTTCCAAGACGAGGACTCATGCAGATTTCACTGATTCGTTGTACGCACAGCCGGCACTACGGTCCGACAGGATCCACGCACCGACTTCCGAGGTGGCGGTCTGCTTTCCTTGAAATGCTTGTCCGCTCCCCAGAAGGAACTTGAGAGTAGGGTCAATAGTCACTATGGCCTCGGCTTCGGCTTTTATCATGGCAGTCCTGGTTGAGTGTGGGCGGTTCAATCCGCAAAGGATGCAACGTATCTGGGCATCGGGACAGATGCCTTTGCTGTACGGGCGTGCATCAGTTCAGGGTCTGAGTGTGCCGGGCTCCTCATCTCCCCCACATCTGTGGTATCATCCTTTACACAATGCACCTGCACTGTTACCAGACTGGATAAAAAGCTTCGTGGAGACGTGACTTCGAATCTTCTTGGTTTGCATCTGGCATGCGGAATATTGAACCCCGTGGTTTCGTGTGAAGCAAGGTGATCGCAAGATGCACAAAACCCATCAAGACAAGAGAATTCTTGTCTCTATTCTTCTTCTTACGTGATGATACACCACGTAGCTGCACATCGGTTGTATCTCAGCTTCCATGTGCAAGAGCTAGAGATTCTGGGCAGGTTGCACATGACAGAGCACGATTCGTCGGAGTCCTGGAAGAGCCAGCATCATGCTTGCGAGTCTCTGTAGTTTCCCTTGTTGTTGAGGAAGAGAGTGTGCCAGCTGATTCGTGAAAGTTCGGGAGCTGGGTGCCGTGACAGCATTTGTCCATGAACCTGTCAATTTAAAGTCTTTCAGCTCACACATGTTTGGTTATGTTGGTTTGGGTATGTATCCTGCATGCATGGAGGCAAACAGATGAAGGGACCTTCTATCCATTCGCAGCCGCACCTCGGTAGCAGAGGGGCCATTTCAATGGTTGCATCTGGGACGTGGTAACCTTGTAAGATGCAGCAGCGAAGCGATGTTCACATGCGGCGATGAAACTTACTTGGCTGAACGCATGCCAGATTCCGATGTCCCTGTTTGTTACAGCGGTCCAATGTGGGCAATGTTTGGCATCCTCTACTTTCTGAGCCTGCTGGGTAATGCGTCCTCTCGGCTGGCTCCCCCTTGCTTGCACGAATGCCCGGCAGGCCGTGATCAACGTCTGCTTCAGATTGTCGTCATCCAAGCGTTTCTTTCATGCTCGCCAATCCCACCTAGCTTCGAGCTTGCCTCTTCTGAGGGCCGGCTGGCTGATGCTTGACTTACGACGTGCCCGCCAGGCCAGGCGGCCATGCCGGCCAATGCATTCTGTCAGTCAGTGCAATCTGAAGCGTAGAGCCGCAGGTCAAGGCGGAAGATGTTTGCCGGGCAGCTCAAAGGTCCAATGCAAAGAAGACACGTATCCTGGGAAGCCCTTGAGGCACCGGATTTGAATATCGACGATTCGCGGAGTTGACAGTTCTTGAGTGGGAAGCCCAGCCCACGTACTATTCGGGGATTACGCCACCGAAGCCAGCGCGCATGAGTGCAGAAAGGGCCTTACACCAAGGCCAGAGACGTTTCTACTTCTCGCCACATCTGCCGTTGTGGCTGTGCATGAGGTCCTTCCGTCCATGCGGCACCTTGGCTTCCTGCTGTGCTTGAGCGTGTGCTCCCAGGAGTGGCGCACCAATCTGTATTCCGTACTTCAGTCCCGTCCCCAGCTGTCCAGAACTGTCCGGACAGGAAGAGTAAACAGAATCTGTTCAGGTTTTCCCGATGCGTGGATGCAGCAATGAAGAGGGTGTCTCTATTCCTGACACAGACTACAAAGGAGTCCCGCCGTGAAAGATGCGCAGTCATGGCAATGATGCAGCCCATGATGCCATGTCACGGGCTAGGAGCCTGCAGACAAAGCACTTGTGCGCTTACGTAACACGTGGGCACTGCAACTTGGACTGAAAGGGAAGGGATTTGGGTTTCGGCTATTGTAGCATGCACGTGGCAGCACATGTTTAACAGCACTCCCGACATTCTAGCCCTGTTTATTGTGTTGCGAGTGATTTGGAGGCCGGAGCTTGCTGCAACGACGAAGATATGAGGCGCACGATATGTCCTGAAGGACCCTGCATGTCTGACATTTGGATGCAGCCAGGCTTTCCCGTGGCCATGTCGTAAAGATTGGCAAGATCTTCCAATACTGCACTGATCTCACGCTGGCCTCAGTGCACAAGCATTCAGGCGCAAAACGTTTCATTCCCTCGTGTCTTACGGTCTCGTGATTCAAGTTTGCAACTTGCGAGCAACCTTCCGGATGTGCCTAAGCAACAGATGTCTGCCGTCTGCCGGCATAGGGATGCAAAGACATCGTCAACAGCGCCTTCGCGCTGCCCACAGATCGTCACAGTAGCCCTTCGTTTTGTCGGGAAGGGTGGCTAAGCCTCCCTTCGCGTTGACTTCAACCATCCGTGACTCCCGCGCCGTTGTTTCATAGCTCCCAAAAAAGAGAATCATCGAGACCATGACTCCATGACCACGGAGTTGCTTCGTCTCTGCTTTGGTAGGCCCTTCGCCCCCCCAGGTCTTTGGCAGCTCTGGCCTGGGTCAACTGGACATTTTTGGCATCCAAGATCAGAAGAATTGCTGCTTCCTCTGAAGTGCCAGCAGACCGACGCATTCTTGAAAGCATCTCTTGAAAACGCCGGTCAACGAGTTCAGCTCTTGCAACTTCAGGTCAGACTCTAACATTGGATGTTCTCGACTCAGTTTTAACCTGCTGATGCTTTCGCTGAGGCGCTGCTTCTTTGCGCATGCTTCGAGGCTGTTGCACGTTGTGGTCTGTGGTAAACACCCGCACAGGATCAAGAGCAGTTTCATGGACTGCTTGTAATTAAGTGTCCTGCTGGTCATATGAGCTCATGATCGAAGCTGCCGTCTGTGTCACAGTTCCAAGGGCGTGACGGTGTCTATTTGCCAAGCAGGCCGGGCTGAGGCTTTTGCCTCTTTTCTCAAAGTGAAGTGCTGCAATCTAATGTCAAGCTGTAGATGGCTGTACCACGACAGACAATTCAGTACAGCGGCATGCTGCGATCAGGTGCCGGTCGGGCTCTGGTAGCCGCTGAGACGTCAGTGACCTGCTTGAGCCCAATTCCATTTGACAAACAGGCTGCGGATGCTTGTCAAGACGGGGCAGTGTGGGTTTCACCCGCGTTGGGGCGGGGACCGTGTAGAGGTAAAGAAACTCCTCTTGCAAGCCGAGCTCCCAGCTCCTGTGTGTGTGTGTGTGTTACCTTATACTGGAGTCTACCTAGGCCTTCGCAAAACTCTGTTGCTCCTACTGGTATTTGCCGTGAGGTCCGCATCAATGATGCCCGAGAACTCATCACTGCCACATACGGTGCCGAACTGAGTATGAAGCATAGCATGAGCTCCATACAACCCGCAACATGCAGCAACGGCGACCCATGGCGACCCAGGTCCAGAGGACCCCGAGAGACAACTGCAGCTGCAGCGCTTTCAAAAACTGGCTGGTTGGGCTTCTCCCTTACGATGGCTTGCCATTGCCTTTGCAGGCCAGACCAAGAAACACACACCTGTCTGACCAGACTGGTTCATCGACTGAATCCTGCCAAGGCATTGTTCAGGGATCTGCAGTTTCTGCAGGCTTTCGAACACTTCATGCGCCCCCCGCTTCGGACAGGGGAGCACGCAACTAACCTGGTGCTGGCGAGGTACTGTGTCGATTTTCGGGTGGACCAGGTGTTGATGTTTTGGGGCACCAAGCCTATCCAACATTGCATGTTGCTGACTTGTGAGCATTGCAGCAAAGGTCGCCACCTACCAGCAGGATGGGAGCCAGCTACCGCGAGGCAATATGCAGAGAGAGAGAGAGAGAGGACAAATTTGTTGTATATAAGCCTTATGATGCAGAGTCTTTCCTGTAAGTTCTGTAATCTTCAGGCCCTGCCACGATCCTCAGCACAGCTCAGCTTTGCAGCAGCTTCTCCAACAACCTTGTACATCCCTGGTTTTGTAGCGACTGCCTGGCAGTTAACCGATACATGAAAGTGTGGTCGGGGCCGAGGCGGATTCAATATTCTCTCGCGTGGGATCAGCGGCGCAGCGCTGCAAGAGCCGTACCGAAAACTGTTGGCATCTGCCCAAGCACGGCAAGACACGTCCTCCAGCAGAGCACTAGCAAAGAAATGGGCCGTTTGCGACATTGATTGGAACAGTTTAAAAGGCACTCCAATGAGCCATGGTGCGGTTGGAAAGGGGACCGTGATGTTTGATGGAAAGACCTTGGTCAGTGGCTCTTGAATCCCATGATCCCATGCTGCGGTTTGACCTGGGATCCAAGAGCCCAGGTGTGCTGACCCGAAGAAGGAGAATTGACACTGTTAGCTCACACGGGTGCAAACAAGTAGAAGCTGTCAACCTGGGTCTTGGTGCAAGCTTCGTGCTGCAAAACTGGCCACAGAAGAGCTGATCTGTTTGAGAATCGGATTGCAAGAGTCATTTTGAGCAGTTGGCTTAGTTTTTCGTATCTTCGGGACATACTGTGCGCAGCACAGGGACATCAGTTGTAAACTTTCCCTGTCTTGGATCGGCTTTGCAACCCTGGTGCCACCGGTCAGGCACGAAGATGATGGGTCTCCCGAGCGTGCGGCCCAGTGAAGCATTGCTCATGTGGGGATGCAAGTGATGTCCGACAAGGCCAGTTGACATCATGGACTTCGTCCGCAGCAGACTTGCAGAACGGCAGCCACCAGAGGTGCCGACCGAACACACCGAGTCCCGCTGCTGCATTCGGAAGCACCTCCTCATCTAGCGCACACACCAAGGTCGGTGATGCTGCAGTGTCAGCAAATGTTGGCCTGGCCAATGCAGCCAGGATCTCGAATGCAAAGGAAGCTCGTCAATCGGTCTTTCACGCAGGAGTCAAGTGACTGCATCGCGATTGGGTGTTGGGGCGCTGCTGGTGTTTGGCAATTCTAATCGGTGTGCTGAAGTCCTGCAGCCATCTCGCCAAGCACCGCGGGGTGGAGTTCGTAGGGCCGGGTGGCAAGCATGGGTATTTGCGGAGGCCCGCGATATTATTTTGAGTTATGCTTCATTATGTTACGGCTACGGTTCGCCGGTGTCACCTAGCTTCAACAAGTTTCGTGGAAGCGACATCGACTTGCCTCTTGACGCTGTAGTGCTTCTTTGTACCTTGGATGGCTGCAGGGAAGTCGCCTGGTCCAGCACAAAGCCCAGCGCCAAAGACAAGAGATTCCAGCGCCATCAAGAAAGAAGTCAAGGCAGCTTTTTTCTCGACTCATGTCTGTGCACTGATCTACATGTAGTCTTTGCATGCTGAACTTTCCCTCGCGTGTCATTTCAGCCCTGCACATGTTAGCCGAACAGGATGGTGGAATCGGCTATGCGCAGTTTATCATCGAGAACACGGGCAAGATCACAGAGCACTACCAGTTGGTCGGCATGCTGCTGCTTCCAGCAAAATTCAAGAATCCGTGCCATGCCCTGCAGGACAAGAAGAAGCTTGGAGAGGGGTCCTATGGCTCAGTCACCAAGGCTACCAACATCTCCACCAAGGTAGGATCTCTATAGTGTTCCACCACAGTGAAAACGCGACAAAGATACATGAACGTGGTCTGTTCAGGCCATCAGAGCGGTCAAGACCATATCCAAGACTCAGATGAAAAACATTGAGCGTTTCAAGCAGGCGCTTCGGTCATGTGCACATGCTTGGGACGGCAAGGAGGTCGGGAATGTGCGGGGTTGCCAAGGAGATTGCCATCATGAAGATGATGGATCATCCGAACATTATCAAACTCTATGAGTCGTTTGAGGATATCAGGCTTCCTGCTCAACAGCTGTTGTTCTGGCCCATCGGCAGACTCCACACCTGACCATGCACGACTCTGGGAAGTTTGCGAAAGGAACATCTACCTTGTCATGGAGCTGTGCGCCGGTGGCGAGCTTTTTGATCGGATCATCGAGTCTGGCCATTTCTCGGAGGCACTATGGCATCGAGCTGCCTTCCTTAATGCAGATGCCCTGCAGATCCCTACAGGTCCAAGCAGCCATATTGATGCAGCAGATTATCCGCCGCGATCTCAGTTTTCGATGTCAATGTCGCTAGAAGGAAGGATGCACTCGCGAAGATTCTTGAGTCGCTTCCTCGGGAGTCATAGAGTCACATCTGCGATGCTGTTCGTTCGTTCCTGGACTGCCAGGGAAGTAAGTGGAGCGATTAGTTGTGCTTGACAGTGATGCTGCGCAGCGTCAATTCACACCACATCAGCTCGATCAATCATTTTGACATTTGTGGGAGGTGCAATCTACTACATGCACGAGAACCACATTTGCCATCGTGACCTAAAGCCAGAGAATTTCCTTTTCATGACCAAGGAAGGGATCAGTCACTTTCTTGATGATCTGTGCTTTACTGACACGCTCGCTTTGCCAGGATCCCATTGAGAAAAACTTTCTCAAGATCATTGACTTTGGACTTTCTTGCAAGTTCAGCCCGGACCAGGTGACATCTGCAAGCATAAGGCAAAGTGAACTTGTAGCTTGTTGTAAAGTTCTGGTGGCAAGGCTCTCACAACGAAAGCTGGGACGCCTTACTACGTGGCGCCGCAGGCTGGAAACGGAAAGTGGCTTAAGGGCTGATGAGTTAGGGAGGACCAGCTATTGAAGCATAGCTTGCCTGTCAGGTCTTAGCTGGCAAGTACGACCAGCAATGTGACATCTGGAGCTGTGGTGTGATCATGTATGTGCCTTTGGCGAACAGCTGTTTGGAGTTGAGTGATGCATAATGGAGCCCAGACTTTTCAGGTTGTTTACGCGTCTCCGAAGCACAGGTGCTGCTGTGTGGATATCCGCCCTTTTTCGGTGACACTGATGCAGACGTATTGGCAAAGGCCAGCCGAGACAGTGCAGGTGACTTCGGACTCGCCAGCATTCGATCATGGCGAGGTCCGACTCGGCAACTTCAACTTCAATCCGGCAGACTGGAAGAACGTGCCGACCCCTTAGAAACATGCTGTTGAGGGAAGTCTGCGATGGTTTGCCCTGGCAGACTGCTTTCATCCAGGTCTGACGACGCGAAAAACCTAATCCGGTGGATGTTGAAGATGAACCCTCGTGACCGATATACAGCTGAGCGGCTTGGCAAAAACTAGCTGTCGCTGGTGTCACGCATTGGAGCATGTAGGATATGTGGACCCTCAGTTTTGTATTGAGAATGCCCTAGAGCGATTGGCAGAAATGCGACACTAGCACTGATCACGAACAACTTTGGAGGCTTTGCTGTAAAAATCTTTCTGTGCCAGCTTCCGTCACAGACGCCTCAGCGGCTGGCGGCTGGCGGTGTAGACGCAGCTTTCAAGATCGATTCTCCAAGAGCCAAACACGCGAAAGTTCTTCGCACTACAATCATGTTTTTGAAGAGCAGCTGTCCTGTGCATGCAAATTGTCCGAAAAGCAACAGCCGTCAAGAGGATCACGGCCTAGACACATTTGCCAGTTGGAAGTTTTCAGATGTTAGCAACAGGCAAGGCAGAAGAGAGCAGGAAACAACGACAACCGACATGCAGGTTTTGGGGCCCACAAGTCCAAAGAAACGACGGCAACAGCTCTGGCGCTGTGTTTCAAGTTCTATGCTCCGCTTTTTGTTGCAATTCTGTGCCGTCCAACCCGCATGTCTTCACTTTGTACGTACATGTTTGGTCGGTAGTTTCGGAAGCGTAAGCCGAAGGTTTCTCTCTTTACGCTGGCATGCCTGTTCTCATGCTGTCGGTTTCTGCTTTTGAATCTGGCTGTTCTGCGTTCGCCGTTCTCCCTTCAGCCTCGAGGGGTTGGAGGAAGGCGACTGAGAAAGGTCCCCACGTATTCGGACCTCACTTTTCTTTACGGTGGTTGCCATCTGGGTTTTCTGTTGCTCGACTCCTCTCTCCTCTCAGGTGCTAGCGCACAAGGACGCGAAACAGGGCAGAAGCGGTGGGCGCAAAGGGGAGGGGGGCGCCAATGTGTGTGCAGCAGGGAGCAGCAGGAGGGTTGTTGTTGTCGGCGTCGTCGTTGTCGGTGTCGTCGTTGGCGGTTTGATCGGCGGCATTGTCGGCGTCATCGTCGCATCGTCGTCGCAGCGCCGTCGTGATCGTTGTCGTCGCGTCCTCCGCCAACAGCATTGTGGAGGACGAAGACAACGACGAAGACGACGACGAAGCCTCGTCCTCACATATCTTCCTCCTTCTCCTCCTCCTCCTCCTCCCCCTCTTCCTCCTCCCTCTCCTCTTTTGTTGCAACCGCTACTGCCATTGCTACTGCTGCTGCTGCCGCTGCTGCTGCTGCTGCTGCTGCGATTACCACCACCAAAAACTACTACGACGACGACTACTACTATTACTTCTAGTTCTACTTCTACTTCTACTACTTCTACTTCTACTACTACTACTACTACTACTACTACTACTACTACTGCTGCTACTACTACTACTACTACTACTACTACTGGTGCTGCTACTACTACTACTACTACTACTACTACTACTACTACTACTACTACTACTACTACTACTACTACTACTACTACTACTGCTTCTACTAGTACTACGACCGCTGCGACTGCAACTACTGCTTTTGTTTTTGCTGCTGCTACGATGTGGTTGGCTTGTGAGGTGCCTTGGTGGTTCCGCTGACTAAGGCCAACTGATGTGATTGGGAGGTAAACTCTGCAGAACTCAAGCCCCAACCACACGGAAAAAGTAACGTAGCTGGGAAATGTTGAAGCCACCATGTGTCGTTAGGCAGATCGTTGCTTCTTTTCTTCTCTCAAGGCTTGTTGCCGTGCAATGAGTTCGCTGTGAGTTCGCATGGTGTATGAGTGTTTTCAGGCTGGTTAGGCCAAGCAGCTGTTTGCAACATCAGCGTGCCCACTCATCCAAGGCAAGCTTTAAATCATGAGTGGATCAAGAACAAGGCGCCAAGAGCTCAAGCAGTGCACGCACCTCAGTCTTTCGGTTTCATGCACTGCGTTACCAAAGAGAAGCAGCTGCTCAGCCGAAGCTCTGCATTTGCTGATTGCTTTCAGTGATGGCTTTTTGCGCTCATGTGTGTTGCCAGCAGCTGCCACCGCTTCAGTCCTTTTTGCATGCCACGTGTGCAGGCACGCGCCTGTTCGAGCAACGGCACACAGGGGCCCGCCCGCCCGCACGCATGCACGCACAGCCACAGCCACGGAGACACGGAGACACGGAGGCGCAGAGACGTACAGAGACACAGAGACACAGAGGGAAAGAGATGCGCACGGACACAGAGACGCACAGACAAACCGGCACAGATCAGGTTCTCTGGCTGCAGCATGTGCACAAGACACGACCCATTTGCTTTGGAATTATCAGCAGGATGGTGCAGGGCACAGGGGTGCCAGTTGAGGGCCTTTCCAGCATAATTCGGAGCACAGCCTCATGCCGACCCTAAGAAAGGTCTACAAGCAGGAAGTAGCGAAGTGGTCGTGTTTTGCCATCATGCTTCCAGCCTCAGAACTGACAGCCCCCCGACCGAAGGCCTTTGCGTTCAAACTTCGTCGACAATCTGCGGGGCTTTCAATCCCAGAACAAGCTGAAAAAGGCCGGCGGAAGCTTCACATGTTCAATTAAGCTGGGTGCATGCTATGCTCTCCAGAGGTGTGCAACCCGATCCGGTCGGTGTTGGCGATGGTGGTGTCAGCTTTCGGTAGGTAGTACTTGTTGGTAGTGGTGCTGATTCCGGAATCTACGCCGTGACGACCGCAATGGTGGTGCTTTTGTCTCCATAATCAGCGGTCGAAGGCAAAGCACGAGGAGCAGAAGAAGCAATCGTAATGGGAGTTGGAGAGGAG